CATATACTTCTCCAGCCATACGATGGTGAATAAGATCTATGTGGATCCAGTGAATCCGTATTTGAAAAATATATGCCCTTAAACACTTTTGAAAACAAGCAATCAGGTTTGTCTATGAGACGCCATAATTGCTTTGCCAGCAAAGCCGTATTAAAATTTTGGAGATCGTGAAAACTTAGTCCTCCCTCCTCTTTAGGGTGACATACTTTATCCCATGAAAACCAATGTATACCTTTTTTATTGGTTCCACTACCCCACCAGAAATCAGCGAAAGCCCCTGTAATTTTCTTTGTAACTGTTTTTGGCAATCTATAGCAAGACATGACATGATTCTGCCTTGTCGAGACCACTGTTTTGATCATAACTTCTTTTCCACCTTTAGTCAAGAACCTTACTGTCCATCTGTTAACCTTCTTATTAACCCCTTCATTTAAATAACCAAAAATTTGTCTCTTAGATCCGTCCAGACTTTCTGGTATTCCTATAAATATCCCATTCTTCCCAATTTAGTAATGTCAAGTTTATTTTGAATTTCCACGCGCTGAGAATTGGAAACCTTATGACCAAATTGCATGACCAAATTTATCAATTGGCATGACACCGCTTCATGGTCTTTAAGAAGCTTGAGGATAACATCACATTCAGCCACATTTGCCTTACAGAAAAATAAACTATCATCTGCAAAGAGTAAGTGTGAGACCGCAGGTCCTCCTCGCATAAATTTTTAAACATGTTAGTCGTTTCTCTCTCTCCTCTTTCTTAATATTCACAATAAGAGCTCTCGTACATAAAATAAATAAATACGGGGAGAGGGAGTCCTCTTGTCTTAGCCCTCTCTCCAGGACAATGTTTCTTTTAGGTTGGCCATTAAGTAAAACCTTATAAGTAACTGAGCATATACATATCATCACCCTAGCTACCCAAGTCGAGGAAAAAATCATCTTTAATAATAATCGCTCCATAAAGTTCCATTCAACCCGATCATAAGCTTTACTCATATCCGTTTTGATCGCCATAAATTTTTCTTTACACGCATTATTTGTCCGCAACCCATGAAACATCTCCTGAGCGAAAAAGATATTATCCGAGATTAACCTGCCTGAGACAAAGGCTAATTGCGTTTCAGAAATAAGCTGAGGTAATAAATTTTTCATACGTTGACATAAAACCTTAGAGATAATTTTATAAGCAACATTACAAAGATAAATGGGCCTTAGCTCCGTCATCCTATTAGGCTTGGCTGTTTTCATAATAAGGCAGATATTTTTCAAATTTAGCCTGTCACCGAAACTCTCCGAGCTGAGAAAATCATTAACCATGTTAATCACATCACCCTTAATAACCGACCAGGACTGTTGATAAAATAAATCCATCATCCCATCTGGTCCGGTGTTTTCTCAGGATGCAGCAAAAGTAGGGCCGCCCGAACTTCTTCCTCCGAGGCTAAAGCCGTGAGGCTAAAGCCGTGAGGCTAAAGCCGTGAGGCTAAAGCCGTGAGGCTAAAGCCGTGAGGCTAAAGCCGTGAGGCTAAAGCCGTGAGGCTACTATTTTGGGCATCAGTCACCAAATTTGGTTCTTCCTCAAGAAACCTATTAAACTCTGATGGTGAGGTTGATTGAAATAAATCATTGAAATATTTGACCGCCACCCCTTAAATTTCAGTTTCTGAATTAATCCAAACACAATCCTCATTATATAAGCCAAAAATCATATTTTCGATCCGTTTTTGTTTAGTTAAAGCATGAAATAATTTCGTACTTCTATCTCCACAAGTATTCCACAAAGTTCTGTTTTTTTGTTCCCAGTATAATTCTTCCTCTCAATAAGCTTCTTTTAGTTTGCGTGACACCTCAATCAGTTCCTCATGAGATTTTGATATATCATTTTGTACATCCTATAAACCTTTTTGGAGAGTATTAATCTTTTCCTTCCCATGGGATGGATTTTCCTTCCGTCAAACGGAAATTGCATGTCTACAATTATGAATTTTATCAACTATACCCATTTGTTCTCCACCCTTTTGTGCAGCCCACCTATGCTCAATAAATTCCATCAACCCATCCTCTCCAATCCATCTTTTATAAAACCTAAACTGCCATCGAAATCTAAGAACTTTATCCTCTATCGATGCCACTATCGGTCTATGGTCAGATCCAATCATACCCAAATATTCCACAACAGAGCACGAAAACAAATTATGCCACTCATTATTTTCCAAGGCCCTATCTCGCCGACACTTGACGGTTTGTCCTACTCGCCGTCCACTCCACGACAGAGTATTACCAATACTTGGAAATTCCATCAAACCACAATTCGCAATCATATTATTAAACCGGAGGAACGTATCCTCATGTCAAAGAGCTCCATTTTGTTTTTCATGATTACCGGTAATTTCATTTAAGTCACCGATAATAAACTAGGGCTCATCTCTAATAACCCATATTCTAGTAAGTCTCTCCCAAACCTGATTTCTAAATTGTTGGTTCGATTCACCATAAACAAAAGATAAAAATATCCGTTGTCCCTTATATTCAGTTTCGATATCAATTATTCTATTGCTTGAAGAAATAATAGTAACTGGATGAGTGGAATCATAGAATAACGCCAAGCCTCTACTCTTCCCTTGAGGATCAACCGTATGGAGATAAGAGTATTCAAAATGAAATTAAAAAGATTTTACAAAATCAAATTTCTGTTTTGTTTCTTAAAGAAAGAGAAAATCTGGTTTATGTATAATTATACATTTATTAATTTGGGAAATAAATTTATAAGTTATATATTAAGGGAAAATACAATAAGAGTTTTTAATGTTTGTGTGTGGAAAAGTATAAATCACATTCATAACAAAACGAAGGTACTACTATTTATATAATCAAACTAAATACGACAATGCTATCATTTTAATTAAAGAGAAATTTCTTAATAGTTAATTTTGGAAGCCAATATATCTCTATAATATTATTTGAGAAGTCACTTTCTTAGGTGTCGCGCTCACGTTAATTCTCACGCTGGTTGATTACGATGATACCCCTAATGAATTAAAATACAATTAAATATTATTTCCTTTTTAAAAATTTCCAAATAACAATATAAAATAAAAAGAAAACATTTATAAAATTTACAAAACTATTTAAAAACGAAAATATAAGTATATATAATATGGTTTAATAAAAAAAAGGAAAGTTCACAAAATAGTAATATTTAATTTAAATATATTTTAAATAACATAAAATATACATTTGAAGTAATAAAATACTTTATATCTATATCTTCTTAGATAAAAAAAACAATATATGTATATAATGTGATTTCATAAAAAAAATCACACAAAAATATTGCTATTAGAAAACGAAATATTTTTTCTTAAAAAAATAATTTTAAACAATAAAATATATATATTTTCAAAATCATTATTTTGTATATATCTATCTATTTTATTAGATGATTACATAAAATAATCAACTAACATAAACTGATATATGTTTAATTGACATTTTTTATAATTAGTATTATTAAAATTATTTTTTAGTATATTTATTCGACTATAATATCTTACAATTACTGTAAAATATAAATTCTATTTTACTTATATAGTATAATTTCTCAAAAACAATCACTTTTTACTGACTATTTTAAGAGATACTAAAAATAAAACTAAAAAAATTTAATAATAAACATCTTTTGATCAAGTAACTACAATTATTTTAAAATATCATAACTCTATATAATTTAACGAGGTAGATATTTTATATTATAATAGTTAAAATTATCTGTTTTAAGAATAAGGATTCTGATTTGCTTAAGTATTTTGACTATGGTTATATTAAGTTTCACAAACATAAAAAAAAAAACTATAATTATTTTAAAACCATAACACTATATAATTTAACGAGGTAGAGGTATTATATTTTAATAGTTAAAATTATCTTTTTTCTTAATAAATATTTTGATTTTCAATTTTCTGTTTTTATGTTTGTGAAACTTAATATAACCATAGTCAAAATACTTAAGCAAATCGGAAGCCTTATTTTAAAATTATTTAAAATAAATTTCAGTTTACCATCCAATCAATCTAAAGCATAAATTTATTTAGAATTTATAAAATATTTTAATTATTTTACATATTGATATGTGTTCAAAAGCTTCTAAAATTCATTAGTTACTTATGTATGTAATTTAGAATCAGACACTTTAGTTTTTATTTTTTTTCCTTCTAAGCACAAAAAATCTTAAGTTATATATAATCTTACTAAATATACTTATATTTCTAAGATAACAACTAGCATAAATGCAAATAAGACAATTAATCAAAAATATATTTAAAATATAAAAGATTATAGTTGAAACAGATAGAATCCAATATATCTAAATGATAACTAAATCGACCGTAAAAACAATAAAACAAACTACATATAACATATGAACAATTATATATATAATTAAAGTAATATAATATTATAATATAAATTAGACATACAAACTATAAATTAATTTAAAAAATTAAAGTAAATATCAATCAATTATTATTGTACATTTATTTTATAAATACACATGCCCGTGCATGAGCACGGGAAAATCACCTAATATATATATATATATATATATATATATATATATATATTGTACTATCTTTCGAGAAAAAATAACAATAATTTACGAGTTTATCTCGAAAATCGCGATTTCTTTCTATGTTGTAAAGGAATCAAATAGTTTTTTTTACTAGGTTTTAAGTATATAAGTTCATCTCTTGGTTTTTCTTTATAGTGTGGTCCCATCAAAGGTCTCAATTTATTCACTCAGCGATTATAAAACAAAAGTGTTACACCAGAAGTCGCCAATCACATTTTTCTCTCAGTTTATAAAAATTTCGTTATCTTCTTCCTTTCTCTTCGACCATATAGAAACCTTCACAGATCATAAACTTTCTGCCTGTCAAAAACAATATATATCTTCTTGTTTCTTCATTAATCTCTTAAATCAATTGCTACATATAAATAAAAATGGGAAGACATTCATGTTGTTATAAGCAAAAGCTTAGAAAAGGCCTTTGGTCTCCTGAAGAAGATGAGAAACTTCTCAATTACATAACTAGACATGGTCATGGCTGTTGGAGTTCTGTCCCCAAACTCGCAGGTTTGGTTCCCGTCATCTCCTCTGATCTTTGAAATCCTCAGAAATTGTATAATATTATTTAAAATATTTGTGTACATTGGTATGATCGTATAGGGTTGCAGAGATGTGGAAAGAGTTGTAGGCTTAGGTGGATAAACTATTTGAGACCAGACTTAAAGAGAGGAGCTTTCTCTCAAGACGAAGAAAGCTTGATCATTGAGCTCCATGCTGCGTTAGGCAACAGGTTAGAACTTATATATATAGAGAGAGAGAGCTTTGGAATTCATAATCTATATATTTTCAAATATATTTTATTCTTTGAATCCATTTTTGAACTATGTAGATGGTCTCAAATAGCAACTCGGTTACCGGGAAGAACAGACAACGAGATCAAAAACTTTTGGAACTCATGTCTTAAGAAGAAGCTGAGAAGAAAAGGCATTGATCCAACAACACATAAACCCATAATAACCGAACTTCAAACTCTTAACGTCATAGATCAGAAGCTGACGTCACCAAATACTCCAGAAGTAAGAAAGTCAACGGCTTCGATAAACAACCCGCATGATCAGTCGATGGTCGTCTTATCCCAACCCGGTCCCTGGTGGTACCCTGCGACCACGACCACGGCTAATCAAAACGCTGAGTTTTGCTTCAGTTCAACTACTACCCAGACGGTTTCAGACCAGATCGTATCTTTGATCTCATCAATGTCCACGTCATCATCTCCGACACCAATGACTTCAAACTTCAACCCTTTTCCAAACAACTGGGAACTCAACTACTGCAACAACACAGTTCCATCACAGAGCAACAGTATCTACAGTGCTTTCTTTGGTAATAATCATTACACAGAAACCACCCAACTCACGAATAATAATAATAATAATAATATATTATTGGATCATCATCTTCATCAAGATGTGAAGTCATGGGCACCAGAGATTCTTCATTACACAGAACATAACCAAAGCTTAGAAACTGGTTTAGAAGCAGAAGTGAAGCCAGACATTGCCAAGTACTACTGGAGATCAGTATCATCATCGTCATCACCAAATGAAAGCGCTGTGACATTACTACCTGATGCTGACGTGGAGTTGTACGGTAAAAATCTTCAAAAACCTAATAACATGGCGTTTGGTCAGAGCCTTTAGATTGTTTAACATTTGCTAGAGAGAGTGTAATCGGTATTTCTTCAATTCATGTTCACAATCAAGGATGCGAGTTTTCTTGATTGATAGATTCATATATAATATAATATTCTGCATTTGGTTATGTATATCTTTATTTTTATTTTTTTGGTTGTGTAAATTCTCTGTTCGTATTTTTGTGTGCTAAGATGTAATTCCTTATTTCTTCTTCTTGTCATGATTTTTGACCTAAATACAGTTTGCGTTATTTTTATCTACATCTATACTAAGTTTAACTACTTCAGGGTAGTAATTTTTACGATCACGAATTATAAAATTAAAAACTTAGAAAGTAAAATAAACATTTCCCGGTCATGGTGGATAGTGTTTTCCTTGAAGGACAGCTTAATAGATGATCCTAAGCTGAAGTGGAGACTTCTTCGGAAAAGTGATTCCAGACAACGAGATGCATGCGTGAACAAATGAACCGAAAGTCCCATTTTATTTTATTTTGTATTAAACACATAATATGAAAAAGAACGACGTGTGGCTGTATTAATTTTATTGACAGTATACCCGACCATATATTAGTACTTCAATAAACTACGAATGGTTGTTGAAGTTGACAAAATTCAGAAGTTGATTTTAGATAAATAAATTAATAGGTATACTACAAGAATTAGAGTATGCCTTTTGTAATTAAAGTTCGGAATTCATAGACCTATGAATATATATATATACAAGTCGTGTAATTTAAAAAAAAAAAAATCTTTATCAAAAGTTGATATATAAAAAGATATGACAAAAAATTAGGTTGAAAATAAATAATTTAATTTAGCTTATGGAACAATTATAAGCGAGAATCTGTGATGAATGTGACAATTCATCTTAGAATGGAAGTCCGTCGTTGTCTCCTTTTGAGAGAGGTGTGCTTCACTTGCGAACAGTTCACATTTTCATTGTTTTTACTACTCAGACGTCAATATATATATTCAAAACGAGGAGAGGGCATGTGAAAAGATGAGTTCAGAGTTAATTCCGTGCATGAAAGAGTAGACTAATTACAAGTTTTTGTTTCTTGAATGTCTTAACTAATTATTTCTTGAATCTCATGAACGATAATCATTTATTGTTTTTGTGAACGTCATTCATCAACCGGTTTATATATCAAAAATGTTGATATTCTGTAACTGAGGCTTCACAAGTCTCAGACTCTCAGTTTCTAAGAAATTAACACAAGCAATTATAAGTTTACAAATTAGCTAGATTTCGATTTATGGTCGGTCATTGTTTACCAAAAAATAATGAAATCATGCGCGAATAAGAAGGGAACCTTGATCTTTGCATTTTTGCAAGGTGTTGAAATACGAAATTCGAAGGTGTGTACTCTTCTGACAATATCCCAATATAATTCACACGAGGGCAACTTTTGCGTTGGTGTATTTTTTTAATAATGGAACACAAAAGTTTATTTTTAAATGTCCTATGGTTGCAGAAGAAGGGACCCTTGTTGCTGACATAGTGTTGATAAAACTGGAAAAGTCATGCAAAGGATGATAATAAGGAGAGCAAGAAAGAATAACAAATTTAACAGAAAAACAAATGTACATCTAAGAACATTGATCAAGGACAAATATGTTAATATGTGTGTTGATGGTAATGTTAATATGTTTTAGTCTATATATAGTGACGATGGTCATGATCATGGACTTACTGGATATGTGAGTTTCGAGTCTGATGAAAGTGATGCGACTCGGTGAGCAATTATATAGTTTTCCGTCAGCCACAATCAAAAGAAGAGATGAAAGTGACTTACATATATTGTCGGCTATTATTAGATAGTCAGACGCCTATATGGCTTCTGTCTGACACCTATATTTTCGGTCCGGCCCTTAATTTTTCAAATTTATGATGCTATCTTTTTAATTAAGTCTAATTAATTGATTATTCTTTCTTTCTTAATCTATATATTGAGCAACTATATTGGATACATCCACTGAGTAAAACTCATTACCGTGTTAATAGAAATACAATGTATCAAATAATATACATTTTGTCAAAGGGTTATGTATCAATAATATTATGCGGACATAATCATTTGATAGTATTATATATATTTCATATTTATTATGAAGAGAGACAAAGCGATTTAAACAAAGCCAAGAATGACTAAAAATTTAATATTTCCGCCAAAGTTGATTGTTGAATGAGAATATAAATACAAAGGATTCTCTAGCAGTTTCATAAACAAACGATTATAAGTTGACCATTTGTATTTTGAATACTAATAGAAAGGTATTTTTTTAATCCTTACACCTCATAATTTGCATGTGAGCCAAAAATAATAGAGGCCCTACTTTAATCATAACTTTCATTTCTGTATTACAATCACAAAATATCTCTAGTGATCTATTGTTTTATTCGACCATTTTTTAAAGTTTCTAACTGGTCTTTAAAATAAAAGCGCATACTTTTTATATACCACACATATATGTATGTATGGAGTCCCTTTGTATCAGATCTTTTCAAAGGATCGTTGTCGTTTAAATATGGAGATAACGATATCGATAACGTAAACCAAAAGAATAGCTTATTTATAAAGACAACGATGTGGGGGTGTCATTGTCAAGGCAATATTATAAAGTTGCATTATCAACCAGTCATGGGAACTTAATATTTAAAACGTGAGCATACTATTCCATGTATAATAAAATGCTTGACAAACATATCCTACGAAAATAATGATCAATGATTCATTATTTTTACTTTTTAAATCAGGCCTTACGTCTTTTTCATTTTTTATTACCAGAAAAAGGAGATTAATGATCCAGTATCCGCCAAATTCTTATTTGTGAAACTTAATAACATGTAGTTTTTCTTTTTGAGAAAGTACTTAATATCATGTAGTTCTACGTGCTTTTTGGTTACAATGCAATAACCAGATATTATCTTTGAATTGATCAAACTTGCTGAAAGATTTCCAAAGGTATACAAGATTTCCAAACTTGCTGAAACGCCAAACGAATAAGAATTTTGTTTGCATGTGTTTAGTTATGAAAACATGTTTGGTTAAAAACAAACTTAATTTTCATTTGAATTGTTGTAATGTTGGTTATCAATACAATATGTGTTGGAAATAACTCTATGTGCCGCCACTTGCATGGGCCTATATACTGTATGATCATATATTTGAAACTGTATGTATGGGCTTTGACTCTTGCACCCTTGCCTCACCCACTTGGGTCAGAACTCGTCTTGTGGTTACATATCTAGCTGAAATTTCTGAACTGAACCGAATCAACATACAGTATTTTGTGTTTTGAGGTTGTGAACTGATCGGAAAATTTACACATTAATTCAGTGGTAGTTTTGGTAACCTAAACCAAGCGGTTAGTTTGTTATTTTATAAACACAAATTCAACCTATTTATAGGGAATAATCTAAAAATTCGAACTAAAAATCAAACTAAACAATGTTAAATTTGGCTCTGTAATTAAACAAAGTTCAATCATAGAACCAACAGTTTAAGTTCAATTCGACAGCAAATTGTAAAATTCAGCTAACCAAACCGAAACAAACCGTAGTTTTATTCAGTTCATTTCAGTAAAACGAATAACAAACTGAAAACTCATTCTAATCGAACCCTCACGCCTAGTCAGAATTTTTTTTTTTTTTTGGGTAAGAACATGGGAGATGATCTCCCAATAATATTAAAACATCAAACTTCAATCTACATACCGAGTCTGTCGTGGCCGTGGTGGTCCAACAACATCCTCATGCATTAAAACAACAACCTCAATCGGTGCAACATATAATCTACTAAAATCAAACGGAAGAAACAAGTGCAAGGTTAGCCAAACCATCAGCTACGCGGTTTGTTTCCTTATACACATGAGCTACTCGGACCAACCAGTCCTTTGTCAAGAAGCCATGGCACAAACGTACCAGGAAAGACAGCGGATGAGTCTCCCCAATCCTTGTCATAAGAAATTCCACCACCATCTTAGAATCAACCTCTATCTCCAGTCTTCTAACCCCTTTCTCCCACGCAACCTCCAGACCATAATACACACCCCAAAGCTCTGCTAAATGAGCCGTGCATCTTCCTATATTTAAAACAAGACCACCACACCATTCACCATCTTCATTTCGCATTACTCCCCCTGCAGCAGTCGGTTCAGGGTTCCTCTGTGATGCTCCATCAGTGTTGATTTTCATCTACCCCATCCGAGGTGGCGTCCACTTTATCATTAACTCAACCATATGCCTCTCCTTTAAATGTACATTCTCTTTGCTTTGTTCTCTGATATCACCTCTTTAGCCAAATCACGTAAGAATTTGACTCTGTCTCTCCACAATCGATTCTGACCAAACACATTCCCACATCTCCACTTCCACCCCCACCATACAGTCAACGCAAATGTCATAGCCTACGGGATTCCACCTTCTGCACCTTTCTCACATAGGTTCTCATATAGCCATTCCAGCAACTTCATGGGGGGAAAAAGCTTCCCTTCTAATCCTTGGAACAAACCTCTCCCATATACCTTTCTTCGCAAGACAATCGTGAAGCACATGAAATATGGTTTCAATCCCTCCTTTGCAAACCTGGCACATATCCGTTCCACTCAGATGTCGTTTATGCCTCTCTGCATTTTTCATGATTGCTTGACTTCCCACTAGCCAAAGAAACACTCGTACTTTGAGGTGCTACCACTCGCCACATACGTCGATAAAATTTTCCCATATACGGTCTGGGATTTTCATCTCGTGTGATCAATTCATATGCAGACCTTACTGTAAACTTCCCATTTGGGTTTTGACTCCATGCTAAGAAATTGTTTGAACCGAAAACGGTGTGTTTGTCGAATTCATAACAATGAAGAATCTAAGGATTAGATTCTTGAGGCTTAGGAGAAATCATCATAGAAACCAAATAAGAAATAAACATCCAAGATTTTATTGATTCAAGGATTGCATTACAAATGATTTGAATAGTAAAGTGACTCTAAGAATCTATAAAATCCTTATAGGAAGTGTTCTAGATCTAAAAGAGGAGAAAATAACCTAAACAAAGAGGGGTTGCCTCCTTATTTATAGGAGGATGAGGTTTAGGGTTGCCCATCTAAATGGGCCTAATTCATTGTCTAATGGACCTTGAGGATGGTGTAAATCCACCCCCAACTGTAAGCCCCCCCCCAAGTTCGTAGAGAGAAATGAAATCGATCTCTGCGGAGTTTACAAATAGGGTTTATGAGAAAATGA